TAAAAATCAGCTAATTATCATGCAAATTAGGTAATTAATATTCATAAAGATTTTTACCAAAACCTAATCAGCTCTGCGCATTATCCCAGAGCATCTATGTACCAAGTTTCACCAAAATTTGATTAATGGTTCTTGAGATAACGGTGGAACAAAAAAAGTGATATACATACATACATACATACATACATACATACAGACATACAGACAGGGTAACTGCAAAGACTCCCTTTTGTGCTTCGCACACGGGAGTCAAAAATCAAAGAAAACAGAGAACTCTAAGACAGAAAGGAAAACACGAGCGATATAGTCGAACAAGCATTACGACAATCATGTTTGTTTCACCTCAATCAATGCAGTATTACCCACGATGCACTATTCCCATAAGCGTGGGTATGTGGAAGTTCATAGCCAAGCGTACTGCGGTCAAGAACAAAGTAAGAAATTACGTGATGAGACCATCCCGATTTGCCATAGATTTCCGGGTTCGGGTGTTTCATACAAGAAGATCGATACGAACTACACCGCCGAGTGTAGTAGACATAATCCCGATGGCAATAGGAAGTTCGAAGGAAGCAAACACAGTTAATTTATAACAGACGAAGTAAATGGAAATCACTTTTCAGTCCTCGTTGAGGCACAAACGTATTTAAATGAGAGACGATGGCAACTCCACATTGTGGCAGATTAAAAGGGGAACTAAATAGAGCCTATTTTGGTGTTTGTATTTATCAAATTATGTATATTGATTATAAATTTGAAAAAAAAAATTAAAAAAAATGATTATCTTCAGAGTTATGATGACTTAAATATGAGAAACCATAAACCTGCGAAGGACTTCCGTTTGCGCCATCTTGCCATCAAAAAACGCCCTCATGAGGTATAAACGGGTAAGGTAACAAAGCATGATGACGAAATAGTATCTGATTAAATATAAGCAACTTAGGGAGCCATAGTTGGCTGGACAGGTGAATTGACTTCTAGTCTAGGTTGTTTCGACTTTTACGTTAATGTTATTTACAAGCGTATCAACATACAAACATTATGGATGTGCAATTGATCGAGACAAGCATTTTGTTTTGTTTTTTGTCTAACTGTCTAATAAATGCTGTTTCCAGTACTGTATGGCGTGCAAATTATTCAAAGTATGGATGCTGGAGTATGCATCTTGAGTTCGTAGGGTGGTGATGGAAACATTTTCGTTCATGTATTCACATGGCTGCACTGACAAATCATGGGACAAGTGTCACAGGAACACCAAGCAGATTGTTCACAGACTTCCGTGTAATTTGAAATAAAACTATCATCCGAACAAGGGGCATCGTCGACGATATACTCTCATCACTCACACTGGACTGATCTGAATCTTCACAGTATACCGTACTACCCTGATCATAAGCCTGAACACGTAAGGGAAAAGTAAGGGATGAGCTTGTACTCGAGGACCAACTCAGAAAAAATGATTTTGTTTTGGGGTTAAACACTTACCACTTAACCATCTTGCAAACAACGAAATATTATCCAAAAAAACTATTCGTTCACCACGCCGGGCTCAGGGAAATAATACTTATTTTTGAAAAAAAAATGCGTCATTGATTTAAACGACACTTACAATTTTATTACAATACGATTTACATACCATCTGAATTTACGGTGAAATAATTGGTAGGGTCTGTGAGGAAACAGTGGACGAAGGCATTTATCAATATCTTCGTTTTGGTATGTTTTCGATCGTACGCAAACTCACAACGCAAAGCAATTTTCCACCATGAGGTTTTTCAGCACGATTTGACCTGGAACAACTTCCTTTGACATAACAGGTCATGTCTTTCATTAACCAATCAAAATGATGTGTAGTAATGATGAAATTTTCCGATTATTGATGATGATTTTTTTAACGCAATCCGGAAGTGAATTACCGCAATGTTAAAATGCGATCTGTAGCACTGATTGCAACGAAAAAACGATGATTTTTTCCCTAAAACTGGTGGCGATTCGTAATTTCCAAAATATAAACGACGGTTAATAGTAACCGTGGGTAAACTGAGTGTGGAGGAGAATTTAAACACCTT